TCAGCCCCAGCCAGTAAAACATCTGATGGACACCAGTTGGGGAAATCTGCCTTTTGGAAAGTATTTCAGCTGCAATATAGAAATTTGGGATTCTGGAATAAGCAGGAACCAAGAAGAACCAAGTCATCAGAATATTTTACATTTTTACAACTGATTTCTTCCTATCGACTATTGAAATAAGGAAGGAAACATTGGCAAATTATGCTGATTGCTGTAGATTTGGACATATGGATGCACCTGTGTCAACAAATATATTTTCTTTAGCTTTTTGCTAAATGAGTTTATTCAATGGTCATTAATGGCTAGAAGAACCTTCAGTTGCTTTTGATGGCTGGTGGATACTAACTTGTGAACAACACATACATGGATGGGAGTTGGAAAGAACAAGCTTCAAACTGTAGGCATGCTATGTTTGTTTTTGGGAGACTCCATGCTCCTTTCAGGATTTGTGGTACCTGCGTGCTTGTCTGCATTCACAACTTGTACATTTGTAAAGAGATATTTATGTCTCTAAAACTTCTTTACAAGAAAGCCAATTCCATAGGGGCTGCCTGAAACTGCCTACTAGTTAATATAGTGTACAAAAAATTCTACCACTGATAATATATTTGCTTTTTCACTTTAGCAGAATCTTATAAAAAGAAACCTATGTAATCTCTCCCCACACTTTCCCCCAACAACTTGAAAGGCATTTAAATCCCTGGATGTTTTGAATTCTCCATCTCTATACTAAGTAGCTGCTTTGATCCAACTGTCCTTTCTTAAATGTCTTTGGAAGAATATGACAAATGGCTAAGCTCCAGGGTAGCCACATGACTGCTTCTAATCCTCTCATTGATAGATGCCAAAAAAAAAACAAAAACCCAGCCAGACATGTTTTAAATGGGGGGAGAAATAAACCAATGCAGACAAACTGGAATTTCAATGCAGGATTCTACGTTTTGCCAAAATTAATGCAAAGGGAACAGGAAGTGTTTAACCTACTCTTTGAGGGTCAGTGGATAACGGCTGAATTAAAGTGGAATAACTGCGACATGCTTTGCTGCTGCTGCTGCTGCTAAACTCTCCACTGGCTGGTGATCCAATGGTCAGTGACAGGCTGGAAGTTTTCCGCTCGGTCCTAAGTGTATTGAGGGCAGGAGAAACAAGCACAGCTTACTGGGAGACGGACATACATTTTTATTGGGTGATTATGCATACAATGGAGAACCTCTTCACTTACTGTGACATTCCTCTGGCCCAGCCAGTATGCTGACACTCACAGAGAAGAGCTTGGTCAGGATTTCCTTGTAAACCTAGAGGAAACAAGATCAATCAGGCTTGTATGTTAAACATAATTCACTTTATCTTCCCTCGCCCTGAGGGGAACCAATGAGCAAGTTTAATAGATTGGGATGGTGAAAACTGAATGTCAGGCAGACAGCATGCCATGGAAAGGAGGGCACTATTACAATTCTAGCAGTATCACCTCTGGATGAAAACATAAGTGAAAATTCAATGCTGCAGCCTCTTCAACTTTTTGAAAGGTCCTCTAGACTCGATTAAGCTTTTTTAATCATATGTTATTCTTATAACCGCAGGCAACCTCCAAGAATTCTGGACCAAGACAGATATCTAGACTTAACCATGGCTAGTAATATTTGTGCAGCTGGCAGGAAACATTTGGCCCCCATCCCTGCCAAAGTGTCTTGCAGGGACAGGAAAAGCTGCCCCTGATTGTACTGCAAATGCTGCAGCAAACATGCATTGTAGGAAGAGCCCTAAATTTAGGCTTGGCAGCTCTAGATCCAGTTCTCTGCCTGCAGTCACATCCACACCATACATTTAAAGCGCTCTTATACCACTTGAAACAGTCATAGCTTCCCCCAAAGAATCCCAATAACTAAAGTTTGTTAAGGGCACTGGGGATTGCAGCTCTGGAAGGAGCTTCAAAGCAACTGTTTTAAATGTGTGAGTTTTTTTATTTGATTTTAAATTGTACTGTTTTAACATCTTGCTGTTTGCTGCTGCAGGCTCCTTTGGGAAGAAGGGTGGGATACAAATATAATATATAAATAAAGCAATAAGCAACTCTCAGCACCCTTAAACTACAGTTCCCAAGAGTCTTTGTGGGGAAGCCACAACTGTTAAGTGTGCTTTAAATGTTTTGGTGTAGAAGTGACCTCACTCTCTCCTCCTCTGTGCAATTGTTAGCTCTTTAAATAGGTAAGTTCAGTGTGGCACAGTATTGCCGGGAGTTTGCACTGCTCCCTGACTGCAGTGATGCCACTCTTGGCCATGTAAAGATTTGTCATTACAGATATCACTGGGTGTGTGTGTATGTGTTGGTATTATTATTATTATTATTCCCAACCCACCTGCCTGGGTTGCCCCAGGACCTGGTAGACCAAAGCTTGAATACTCCACGCAGCCATGAAGCTCACTGGGTGACATTGGGCCAGTCACTGCCTCTCAGTCTAACCTCCCTCACAGGGTTGTTGTGGAGAGTAAATGAGGAGGGACAGAACTGTGTACACCACCTTGAGCTCTTTAGAGGAAAGGTGGGATATAAAGATGACAAACAAATAAATAAATAATAATAATAATAATAATAATAATCAGTTATTTATAAAAATAATAATATCTAAACTACTAGGTATGGAACAGAAATGAAATGAACAGTCTCAGTATCTTTAAGAAAGTAACTAATTTTGAAAATAGAAACTGCTCTAGCTAAATAGGAAGGCATGTCAGGATTACATTATTACTATGTAATATGGGATATTACACAATAATGTTTAAATGGAAATGTTTATAGCTCAATTTTCAAAGTCTACTTTGGGGCTACTTTTTCCTTAAGATGTTTTCAGTCATTTCTTTGAACTTCTCAAATAGCATTTATTGCTTCAGGAAGTGGATTTTACCTCCTGGAAATAAGGGTCCTTAGCACTGCAGCCTGAATAAAAGAAAATGGTGATGAAGATCTTAAAATGACAATAACCTTAGAAATTACAAGACCCACTGAAACCAGAAATGAAGAGCTGGATCTTGACTTTATTTTAGAATGCTACAACATTCCAAAGACATGCTTTCTGCTTTCTCTCTTTTGCTGTGTGCAAATTCCAGTAAAATGTTCCACAGTAAAATCCTTGGATAGAGGGCAGTTTATGAATAATTTAATAAAGTATCAAAATTGGGTGTTGTTTCCAGTGTTGGTCCTATTTAGAACAGACCCAGTGAAATAGATAGACAGGTCTAACTTACGTATATTAATTTCATTGGGTCTGCTCTGAGTAGGACTTACAGTGGTACCTCAGATTAAGAACAGTCCTATTTACAAACTATTCAGTTTACGAACTCCGCAAACCATAGTGTCCCGGTTTGTGAACTTTACCTCAGTCTAAGAACGGAATCCGAATGGTGGAAGGGCACCGGCGGCAGGAGGCCTCATTAGGGAAAGCACACCTCGGTTTAAGAACAGTTTCAGTTTAAGGACTTCGGGAACGGATTCAGTTCGTAAACCGAGGTACCGCTGTACTTGGATACATCACTTGGTGTAAAAGCTCATCAGGCTCTCTACAATTCAGATCTATTCCAGTTTAAGAAGATTCTGAGCTGTGGGAACACTCTCAGATAACCCAAATGAGAGATCCCAATGAACCAATTTCCTTGCCACCCTAAAGAACTCAATTCCACAGATACTTTAGCACACTTGTAATATAACTAACCTTGTACTGGGCATTTCAGTCTCCATTGGGTACTCTACACTTATGGGAACAAAGTTATAACAGGGTGTAGCTTATCAGGAAACTTTGGTGATTAATTTTAACAATCAGATTTGTCAAAAATGTGATGATGCAAGGTTGAGTCATCCTGCTACCAATTGACCCAAGAAGCTAAGATCACATTTGAATAATTTCACATTACTCAAGAACAGCTTCATCAATGTAACAGTACAACATATTCATAACTGGTAAGGAGAAACAAAACTGGTGCTTTACTCCACGTATCTGTACATCAAGAGTTTCTAATTTGCTTTGGCAAAAACCTCTGCATTGTCCTGACTGTGTCCTTGGAAGAAGAAATAGCATAGACTGTACCTAAGGGAGTCATTTTAGCAACCTCAGTGTTCCACGTAAATGGCAACCTTTACTTGGTGTAACTTTAGATCTTAGTGAAGATGACGGAATTAGACTCAGCCAGATGAAGAGAGGAGGACCTTTGCAACCCAACACCAAGATTATAATAAGGTACATACCAATCATGCTGTTGACACAAACAATAATGACGACTACCTGAATAGCTGAGATGTTTGCACAATTATGCTGTCTCCAGGACAGGGACAGATGTAATACAGAGAGGGTTAGGAAAATATTATGAAGGCTTCATGAAGCACTTTGCCAGAGATCTGAAAAGTAGACAGACTATTAAATCTGTTGTAGCAACTAACATTTCTTCTGGTAGATTTTGAAATAAACTCATTTGGGTGAAGGGTGGGGGTGGGAAAAGGAATATCTGAAACCCCCTGGTAAAGAGGTAAGACAGGATTCATTCTAATGCATGGGTGTGTCTTGTGCTGTTAAATAAACATGGTCTATCTGTAAAGTCTTCCACTAACTATAGATATGATGAATTATGCAAACCACATTCAAAAATCTCATTGAATTGCTATTTTAACAGGATTGTCTGCATGCTGAACATCTATGGTGTACAGTGCTTTAAAATTCTATTTGGGTTCTTACATTTTGTTTTATGCACATTACCTTTACATCCCTTTCCAGGTTTGAATGGACACAGGAGTTGAATGAATAAGGATGCTTTTGGAGAAGCAATATGATAGAAGTGCTGCCTGTGGTTCAATTTTAGATGCCTCAAGGCTGAGTTAGGGAGTTACAAGTAGTTCAACAGTAACATGGCTATTCCTTAATTCACCCAAAGAGACAAGTCACTTTTCTAAAATCTCCTTGTTTATTTACCAACAATGAGAGAATCTACAAGGAATTTTGATTTTTAATTAAAATACTTCATATATTACTTGGAAAGATTAGTGACACACGTTTAGAAACAAAGGGATGTTTTAAAAGACCCACTTTTCCAAAGATCCATGGGCTATTTAGTAACATAAATGTTACTATCTCATGAATTTGATATATCATGACTGTAAAAGTGAGAAGGAACAAAGGCATTCATTAACAGATGAGTGGTTCACCTAAAACCAATAAAATCAAATGGGAGTTTTGCTATAGACTTTTACACAACATGAACTTAGTCCTCTGATTGTATGTCTTTCACTTTGCATGTTTGTTTAAATCGCAAAATGCAAGGTAGTTGCCTCCAGTGCATTGAGAAAACACAAAATTGAAATCTGGCTGGTGTTGCCATGTTATTTTTCATATTTTACGTAATGGTGGTATATTAGTTCCGGTCACTGATGATGCAGAACAAATATGAACTAAAAGCTGCATTTTTTAACTGAATTATCTATTTTAATTATGCATTTTTCTGTCATTTTATTTGTGGTTGGCCTTATTATTCTGAGTTTGGATTCCAACAAGGCTGCTAAGGTAAGAGAGTTTTGTCTTTCCCCAATCAAATGTAGCCCTGAAGAAGTTCTGAATCAGCAGTAGGGGTCAGCTAAGAGACATCACAATATCCTATGGCAATCAATTCTGTAAGAGGATTTTCTTACAGAATTTGCGCATCTGGTATTTTTTTTACAGATGAACAGGAATATATAGAGCAAGGAAGTAAAAGCTTAATGTGATCATCTGAGCCAACATGACAGGTGACAAGAAGGAAGAGAATTAACGTTCTCAAATGAATTTCTAAAACGTGCTAAATGCTAGTCACAAGAGACTCCTGTATACAGCATAGAGATGTAGAAAGCCCAGTAAGCATCAGTGCATGAGGTTTGTAGGTCCCAACTTTTACAAAGCCTTTAAAAATGTATTTGGTAGCATTTAAGAACAGATCCAGCTTTTTTAAAAGGCTCCTGGATATTTTGCCTTTGAAGAAGACATAGCATATAATAGAGATGCCAGCTAAAAACATGTCATTACTTGTACTGCTAATCCCATGAGAAGGCTCGTGATATTTGAGAGCTAAGCACTGGCAATTTTGATAGATCGGTTGGTAGAGAATGAGATTTTTAACCTCAGAGTCATGGGTTTGAGCCCCATGTTGGGCAAAAGATTCCTGCATTGCAGGGGTTGGACTAGATGACCCTAGTGGCTCCTTCCAACACTATGTTTCTAGGTAGGAAAACTACACAACATAGACTTAGAGTGTTATAAGGCTAATCTGTCACTAGAAACCACATTCCTGCAGAATGTTTGTTCCCATTCAGAGGAAATTAACCGCTGTTGGAAGACATCCAGTGACAAGGGGGCGGGGCAGGGAAATAACCATATACCAAAATGGAATTAATACAGAAACAATAGTATGTAACTCAGGGAGGATAGTTCTCCTCTCCGCCCTCAGATCTTAGTTGTTTAGTAAAGAATTATGAAGCTATTCTTGCAGAGCCTCCTAGTGGCAAAGATTTACCTTTTGGCAGATCTGTTAAAGCCATTCAACAATAGCAAAAATCCAAGGGAATTTTTTCATGGTGGCCCTTTACTGTTTCCTTGATCATCATCATCATTTGCCTGCTGGTGGTGTCAGACATGATATTGCCAGTCATATTTCCACCAGTACTAGCACCTGTGAAGAACTTTATGTGAAAAGCGCCTGTAGCTGCTTCCTCTTCTCCAGATTCTTGAGTTGTATTGTGATGCATCCAGAGGCCCAGTAAGAAGTAAAACTAACTTGGTTGGGCTCTCCACATTTTTTTAAAAAAAGGAATGCAAGATAAAATCTCTCTTGGATTTGAGATTTTTAAACGTGGAGAGGATTAAGGGAACAAAATGGAAAATAGATGGCCTTACTTGGCACCCAGGAGGAAGGGCAAGTAGACTTTCAGTATGTTTTCAGTTCAGCTAGTTGTACGTTAACAAAACAATCCAGATTAGGAAAACAGGGACAAATTGTAGGTATCTTCCTCATCACTGCATATTCTTAGCTAGATCTCACATACCTGGAATTAAGGACTGGAGATCACTGGCCCCAGAGGGTGTGATAGATACTTATCTGTGCCTTTCCCCTGCATGGCTTCTATGGTTTTCAGGACTTCTTTTAGTCAATTAACCACTAATGCAAGGCAATAATAGACACTTGGATCCATGGGGCTTTTTTTGTTTGTTCTGAGACTATGGAGTTCTTAATTTGATCTCTACTCCCCCAGCTATTTTTATTTGCTCATCTGTCAGCAACCCCTTTGAAAGTAACTGCTCCATGCTTGTTCCCTGAGCAGCTTCTCTAAAAATTAATGAAAGACTGTGGGTTCCCCAAGGATGCAAGAAAATCCCTGGAACATGTTCTTTTGTGGGTGACTATGTAGGGGATATATGCCCACATTAAGTTATGACAGGGAGAAGAGAAGAAATGCCAAGAAATTCGTGCTAACAGGGCAGAGGGGTATTTAAAAGTCAACATCCAGTCAGAACAGCTCAGTTGCAAGCCAAATAGAGGATGAGAGAAAAATTAACTTAGCATTTATTTAGTACAATTTGAATTGTGCTTTTTAAAGATGTCTGCATCCTTGAAGCTAAAATAAAGATATTTGGTTAGGAACAGTCCATTCTCTGTGTGCAATTTCTTTTCTAAAGCCACTGATTCCTTAATTGTGCTGGCTTTTTGTTTTTAATACCTGCATTTTGTTCTTTCTTACTGCCATAAAAAGGTATTTCCTAGTTGTGTGCTCTTTATAAACATTTCAGAAATTCCACACAAACTGGCCATCCTCAAAATGTCATCAGAAACAGGTTTTGCTTGGTCTCTCAGAGAATCTTTTAAGTGTTGAGGAAACTTTCACAGGGCTATGCAACTGCTCAAAAGTACTTTGAAATCTGAAATAAATAGTTTTGGGGGGAAAACCCTTATTTGCTACTTTAAGAACCCATTGCCAAGCGCTAGGTCTAAAGTCACCTTAGAAGTGGGGGGGGGGGGAGAATCCCACTCCCTGGGTGTGTCCATCCATATAAAGGCCAACATGTAACTCAAGGAGACATTGCTAAGATTGTGGACATTGGTTATGAGCATGATTCAGTACTTTTGCTATCCTGGGATGAGGTAGTCTTTAGCTGTCCCACAAGCAGCCCTGAATTACTATTTGACACAAACATTGTGGCTCCTGCTCTTCTACAATTCTATAGTCTGAAATGACACAACACTGTGTGAATGCAGTTAATGTGCATGCTTTTAAAAAGTTTGATTAGCAGCTGGCCTGAGGCAGGAGGTGGGAGGAGAGAGAGAACAGAAATGGGACTGGGTGAGGAGGGAGAGTTCAACCATTTTCCTTCCATGGTCCTGATGACAGCTATTTGCATCAGAAGGCAAGCTTCCATTGGCACCAAATCATATATACTAATAGCAAAACTCATTCTCCAAGCAACAGACCTGGTATAACCATGCTCAAGAGGGAGGTATCAGCAGGCCTAAGAGAAACAAAGTTTTTGCAGAAGTACTTAAAAACCCAAGGGGGTGGGGGTGCGAATCCCAGAACAGCCCAAAGAAAACTGTATGCGTTAAGAGGCCATAATGAATGTCTGCTGGGCAGTGGTGTTGGGGAAATGTACAGTACTCTGGAAAAGCATGTGGCTTGCTGACATCTTGAACAGGAGTGCTGTTCAGTGAAACGTTTTAGTGCAGGTCCCACCTGAATGTTCTAGTTTCTGTTCTACAGATCTGGCAGCTGCTACTCCTAGCACTTGTGGATAACCCTTCAAGTAACAAACTTTGTCAATTTGTGCAAGAGGAAATATAATATTCTCAGCAGGACACAGGTACATTACTTGGGGGTGTCGCTCAGTGGTGGAAGGCATGATTTGCATGCAAGAATTCCCAGGTTTGGCCACTGCCTTCGCCAGGAAGGATTGGGAAAAACTCTAGTAATCTCATCACCTGACCTAGTAGCTGCTGCTCTGACCATTGTCTCGAGTACCAAGGACGCGGGTGGCGCTGTGGGTAAAAAGCCTCAGTGCCTGAGGGCTTGCCGATCGAAAGGTCGGCGGTTCGAATCCCCGCGGCGTGGGGTGCGTTCCCGTTGTTCGCGTCAAGCGCCTGCCAACCTAGCAGTATCGATAAGCACCCCCGGGTTGCAAGTAGATAAATAGGGACCGCTTACTGGCTGGGAAGGTAACGGCGTTTCGTGTGCTGCACTGGCTCGCCAGAGCAGCTTCGTCCACGCTGGCCACGGTGACCCGGAAGTGTCTCCAGACCAGGCGTGGCCCCCGGCCTCTTAAGTGAGAATGGGCGCACAACCCTAGAGTCTGTCAAGACTGGCCCGTACGGGCAGGGGTACCTTTACCTTTATACCTTTACAAAAGCCTTATTGCAACCCACTTGTAGGCTCCACCTCCCTACTTGGTAATCACCAATCCCTGTCATATACAGTTTGGTAAACCAATTCATACAATGACTGTACAAATCAAACTTCAGCCCTTATATTGCCAAAGCTTCAGCTACATTTTCCCCCCATCGTTAGTTTAGCTCACCAAGAGCAAGGATTTACAAGAGTTACAACTCAAGCCATGTAGGGCTTTCTAATGGAATGTCAGCTTTAACTGCACCCGGAAGCAGGCAGGAAGCCAGAGTCTCTTCTTTTTGTAGAAATTGAGTAATATGGATATGGTCCTAACAGCAAACACTTGCTAAACTGGAGCAAGCCGCACCTGCTGTGGCTTCTAAGAAGTCTTGAAGAGTGGCACTGCACACAGCACATTGCAGTAATACTATCCATCTTTTCACAGATTTGTGAAAATGGCTGAATGTGAAGCAAACACTTGTAATCATTCTACAAAGTGCAACAGGGAGCCACTGATGCATACAGAGATATGTTTTTCAGCATCTTGTAACAGACTATTTCTTAAGGTTGTAATCGCAGAGTCCTTTGTTAATACAGTGCTCCTATTGCAGATTGTATGAGAGCACAGGTCATTGCTTCCTACCTTAGCTGACTGCCTTGGAAGGACTAGCACACTTTTGAACAGGAAATTGTCTACAAATAATGTTTAGCTGTGCACTTGGTGAAATTCACTGCCATAATGTGCTCTCATGACAAATGGTTTATCTCACTTCTCATTAAATAAGTCCAAAACCTAATTTCTCAGACACTTAGACAACTTATTCAGCTGTCCTCAAATGGGAAAACATTGCAACTTGAGAAAACAAGGATTTATCACAGGTCAACTTAAAGCCACTAAAATGGAAGAATAATGCAATCTTGCCAAACCCATGCACTTTCAAGCAGAGACAATCTAATGATTCAAAGAGAATATAAAATACACCAAACACTGCAAATTTAGAGGATGCAGTGCTGAATTTAGATGTATTATTCACAAGCACATATTTCAAAAAAAGCTAATAAAATCGGAATTGATCAATCATCCCATGGGGCTCAAAGAATGAAGGACAGGCACCAGTAAGAACCATGATAAATGGATTGGAGTATATAATGGACAGTGTGCTGCAGCATATGGAGGGCTACACTGAACCGATGTTTACCCTGTGGATGCAAGTTTTCTGTGGGCATCATTACTCAGCTAAGAGGTTGAAATATTCAGAATCAAAGATGAACAAATGGCTGCCCAATTAAAATGAAGGTGAGTGTGATCTATGTATTTGTTCTTCTTCATACTGATTCCTGAAAGTAAAAGTCCAGAACCGATATGGCATTTGCAAGAGAACAACAACGAATCATGGACGCGGGTGGCGCTGTGGGTAAAAGCCTCAGCGCCTAGGGCTTGCCGATCGAAAGGTCGGCGGTTCGAATCCCCCGCGGTGCGCTCTGTGCTCGTCCCAGCCTTACATTCGAACAAGAGAAATAGGACCGCTTATGCGGGAAGTAACGGCATTTCCATGTGCTGCGTGGCTCGCCAGATGCAGCTCCGCTGGCAGTGACCGAAGTGCCCAGACGCCGCCCCGGCCTTTGATGAGATGGCGCACAACCCTAGAGTCTATCCAAGACTGGCCCGTACGGGCAGGGTAACCTTTACCTAACAACGAATCATGGCTATCCTGTTGTTGTATAGGTTTGGGCTTGTACATCAGCTGCTGTCTTCCTCCCATTACCTTCCCCCCAAAACAACAACAACAACAACAACAACACACACTCTGAATTTTTATACACTGTCTTTCTGGCCACTAAATCCACAGTAAAATATACTATCTTTTATAAAAGCAAATTGCATGTTTACACTTTGCCTTTTGCAGAGTTCTGCTTCTTTGCGAGTTCTTTCCTAGAGGAGTGCAGCAGTGCCTGAAAATATACCACAAACATAATTAGGTGTTTTGATAGCAAGTGGATGCGGATTTTTTGGATTAACGGAATAGCAGAGTTCCTGCCAGACAATCTATCCATTAGCGCTAGGAAGCCCAGGCCATGGATCCGGCCTGTCTGAGGGATGTATAGCAGAATCCACTCTTGGAAACCTGATCTGATTAACTTCTAATTTTAACTATGTGTGTAGCATTTAATATAGAAGCAGCTGATGGTGCATAAATCTACTGGCCTGTCAAGCAGCTCCAGTGCAGGGCTAAAGCAGAGGTCTTTCTTCCAGCTGAAAGCGAAAGCCTGGAAGCTGTGCTTTGGTTTTTTAACGTGCTGCCATTGCACCTGAAAAACAAACAAAGAGCAACGCAACCTCCTTATTACAAAACACAAAAGGTGTACAACACCCCAAAGCACTGTCAGGGCTTAGCATTGTAGTCACAAAGCTGTGATCAGATTTTTAATTTTTTTCGCCCGATGGTTAAATGACATGCTGTTTTTACATACCTGTTTGTGTTTGTATAAGCAGTAAAAACAAATACAAAAAAATTCTGGTCATACAATCTTCCAGAAAGGACTCTACTGTTCAAACCTGAGTGTCCCTGCTGAGACTCATCAATCTCCTTGGAAAATGTTGCATGCAAATCGCACCGCAAAAGTTTTCAAAGGGTGGCCTTCCATGAGCGGAGGCTAAGCCGTTGGTAGACCCTTGAGCTACTGGGTGTCACACTAATCACTTAGGGATAAATTGAGGAAGTGATCTCAGGGTATGCTCAGATTTCTGTCTTTTTGTCAGCTGACTCAAGATTACTAGGTAGAACACCAGGGCCTGAACTGTCACTGCCAGAAAGTGGTTGTTGAGCTAATTCGTATACTAACCTCTGGGTAACAAGGTCTGTAAACAAATTGCATGACATCAGCACATGCATGTGTAACACCAGCAGCTAAGGAAATTTCAAGGCAGTCTCTATTTTAAGAGGAACAGAAATGACTTAAATGTAGATAAGTATGTCACAACATTCTGCATTTATTTGCTTCCTCCAGGAAATAGAGAAAGCATATCGAGTCATTTAATTGAGCCTGAATTCCTGCTTAAAAAAAAAATTGTTTATCTGAACATGAAATTGAACATTGTTTTCACAGCACTACTGTGCACAACTACCAGTGACACCTCAATACATTAGCATTTAATATTAAACATATCTAATTCTTGGACAAGAATGTGTCTAGAAATGTACAATACAACAAGAAGACAGTTAAAACTAAGTTTAGAATTGACTGGCACACAAAGCAAAAGTTGGAAACAGTTCAGAGAGCTTTACAGTGTTATCCTTAACTCAGAAGTTAAGTCCCTCCTTGGCTAAGTGTCTAGGATTGCAGCCTTAATTTATGTTATTCTTCCAGACCACTAGCCCACCCAAGTAGAAAGCTTGGGAGTCAACACAAAATTTAAAGGTCAGTTACATCCATTGCTTTTTTTCTAGAAAAATAGGTACCCACCATGAAATTGTTGAAGGAAGTGCCACACTTTTTAACAACAGCAAAAAGAGGTGCCAGTACTGTGTACACTTGAGTACCCCCTTTAAAAAAAGCAGTGGTTACATCAGTAATTTCAATACTGGTGTTAATATGGTTCCCTCAACTGAAGACCATGGCAGAAGAAGGGTAAGAAGGAATTCAACCTCTGGATGAGGCCTTTCCAGTGTCACGAGGCTTTTTGCAACCTGGAATACCTCTGCTGTCTGAAAATAAAGTTGTCTTTGTCACTGCCGATCACCAGTCACCCTAAGCAGAACTTCCCAAGAGCCTAACTCACCCAAAGACTCAGTTCATGAGACAGCTTCCAAAAAACCCCACATAACCTAACTACACACACATTTGTACAGTAAATGTACACATGCAGGAAGCCTCACCCTGCTTCCTTTCCATGCCAGCTGACACGGTTTAACCAACCTATGTGGGTGATGTGTCCATACACTACCAAAAATAGGGTGCTGCCCAAACCATGCAGAAATGTTTTTTTGTTTTTTTCACAACAGCCAGGCCACAGTGACAACTTATTCATTAGGTCTAAATCTTCAAAAATGGAGTCCTGTTACAGACTGAAGGACCCCGATGATGCCATTGTGCACAACCTCAAATGCATTCTGAGGAAATGAGATATGACTGTCGTTAAGCAGCAGCTGCTGATGACAAAAGTACTGGGAGGTGTGTGCAGTCACTTCATAGACTGATAGATATGTACCTGCATTCAGAACATGCCTCAGTCAAAGTCTTGGGCTCAGAGGCTTTGGAAAAGCCATTGTTCCTTTGCCTTTGTTTTCTGACATATGTTCCAGAAGCCTCTTCCTTAATAATGGAATTGTTGCAAGACAGCCATCAGACATAATCAGCTGACTAGGAAGCAAGTCCCTGTAACTCAATGGAGCTTACTCTCATAGTCACCATGTATAGAATGACTCTAAGACTCAACATGTTCTCATTGTAAAACCAACAAAGTTATAATTATAGCTCTTTATAAGCATAAATACCTAAAAGAAATTATAGTGGTAGTAAATATAATGTGTATATATACGTGTACACACACACACACACTATTTGCTATTGCTATAATTTATATATGATAAAATATATAAACAAATATATAATTATAATCTTTCTTGAAGCCGTATAACTAGAAACAGATTGCAAAGCCACTTTTTAAAGCAAATAAAATAGCAACCAGTTTGCACACTGAAGCCTTTAAACTTACCAAAAAAAATTGGTTTCTTAAATGCTTCTCCAAAAAAAAACCAACCCTCTAGAGCAACTGGATTACTCCAAGACTATATACAGATACACACACACAAATACATACACTCAGGCTCAACGCAGCTGTAAGCTAATGGCTCATCAAAGAATTAAAGTGAAAGCAAACCTACCAGATTAACCCTTACAATGCTGGAATTAAACTACAAATAAAAAAGTATTCATCAGCAATCAGTATTAACATGTAAGAATGTATGTATGTATGTATGTATAAGATTTATAACTCACACTTCACCATGAGGTCGATCCCAGGGTGGGTTACGACAAACAGAAAAAATATGGTTTTAAAACATAAAAATCACTGCAATTAAAAAACCCCATAAACCATTCCAAAATGGGACAGAGAGATATCACACTTATGTGATGTGCACAAGAGCAGAAGAATCAACATTTTCACTTGAACTAAACAGAGCAACAAACTGCAGCCTTAGTATCCTCTGTGCTTCTTTCTACAGCAATAAATCGTCACTGAGTGTGTATTGAGCCTTTCAACTCCCAGAAAAAAAAATTAAAAAATCAGCTGATTTATGTTGTAGATCAGGGGTGGCTAACATTTCCCGACTTGAGAGCCGCATTAATGGTCAGCCACCCCTCCAATGGCTGCATGCCAGCAGTGATTGTGGTCAATGCATGTACATATGCATAGACATCAATGCACACTCCATTTGCAGACCATATACACCTATGCTCACCATACATGCACATTCACCACATAGATAGTGCACGCGCACACAAGAGACTTTCAGGCACAAAGCACCCTCTCCCTCTCTTTCACTGCTCTCTCTCACACACACATACATACACTTTCTCACACAAATGCCCATGCTGATGCAGGCACATAAAACAAAACACACCATTGGCATTTCCACAGCCTCCCAAACAATCCAGCTCTGGTAGTTGATGGAAATAATGCCTTTTGCTTTACACAGGTAATTATGTGCAAAATAAAAGGCAGCCCTTCTCCCCACCCTAACTTTCCAGCGCCAGATTTAGGGTGGTACAAATGCCCCCCCCTTACAGGGCACTGAGCCAAGGGAGTGCAAAGTACAGTGGTACCTCTGGTTACGAACTTAATTCATTTTGGAGGTCCGTTCTTAACCTGAAGCCGTTCTTAACCTGTACCACTTTAGCTAATGGGGCCTCCCACTGCCACCACCACACAATTCCTGGGGCAAAGTTCTTAACCTGAAGTACTACTTCCGGGTTAGTGGAGTCTGTAACCCGAAGTGTTTGTAACCCGAGGTGTTTGTAACCTGAGGTACCACTGTAATACAATTGAGTGCATGTGCAGAATGGAAGGTGAGAGGGGGGCGGCTCTTTAACAAATAGTAGTTCCAAAAGGATTTGCTGTGAAAATAATAAATGGGGGGGGGAAGGGGGTGCCAAATTTCATCCTCACTCTGGGCACCATATTACCAAAGTCCACCCCTGCCGGTACTTGACTGCGGTTGGGTGGAGACGCTGCTTTTTAAAGAGCTTTATGTCCCATTTTAATGTGGTGGTAATGTTCAGCTAGTGCTCAGATCAAAGATGTGTGCAGAGCAAAGCTTAGGTCCCAAGCATAGAACAGCTAAAATCTCCCAGAATTCTTTATCCCCGGTATTGACCTGCAGGACAGGAATGGGAAATATGTAACCCTCAATATATTGCTGGACTCCAATTCCAACCAGCCCCAACCAGCATGGCCAGTGGTCAGGAATCATG